GGTGGCTGTACCCATGCTGACAGAAGAAAAAAAGAGCCAGCAGCCTGGGGTGGGCCCTAAGCTTGGCATATCTGTGGGGCAGAAAGAGGCTGGTGTGGCTGGGACAAGGTATGCAAAGGGAAAGGGGAGAGAGAAGAGGCCAGAGGCCAGATCAAACAGGGCTTAATCTTAAGGGCAGGGTGGTAGGGGAGGCCTGTTTTTAGCAGATGTAAGCTTTACAAAGATAAAGATGTCTCTTGACTCAGTATGGAGAACAGACTAAGGGGTTAAGAACAGAGGCAGGGCGCCTGGGAAGAGGTGAGCGAGTGGTAGTTTGGATGACAGTAATAGTGATAGATATGATTTGGAGGTCACCCCAACAAGGCTCCTTGGGACCAAGATCTGAAATATTCCTCACATACACAAGAATATTGGGCAGCCTTTAAAAGTTACATTCCCAAAGAATACTTAATAACCAAGGAAAAAAAACTCAAACTACAGTGAATGAAAAAAAGGTTAAAATATAGATTCAGCATGATTTCAGGTCTGTCTAAAATGTCTGTGTGTGTATGTGACACAGACACCTCTTGATGAACGCAGAAAATGATAGAGGAGTATGCTAGTGGTAGGAACCACAGGAGATTTTCTTTCTCCCTTTTTCTACAATGTACATTTATACATCATTATTATAATAGGGGGGAAAAAAAACAACTCCTTTAGTGTAAAGACTTTTCAATCCTGTTTTACACACAGGGAAAACAAAGCTCCAGGAAGGAAGTCAGGCTTTCTGATCTGATTCCCACCCCACACAACCCTGATGTCAAGACGGTTCAGGATGAAGAGTCACACATTTTCACCTGTTTTTCTACAGGCTAATCATCTACTAAATGGTGTGCTTTCCACAGATAGATATGCTCAGATAAAATCCTGTTTTCCTAGTAAAATCTCTTTGCTCCCCCAGTGAATAAGCCTGTTAAATGTCCCTCTGCCAGATACAGCAAATACTCAGCTCACAGTATCGACTCAAGGCACCTTTGGTCAAGACTAATCCATGTACAACATTCCAGTGGCCACTGGAACAAGGGTCATCGCTACAGGGTTTGGATATTCAGAAGATGAAATTTGATGCTGGGTAAGAAATGTACCTCCAAAAACGCCATTTTTCATCTAATAAACTAGAAACTGGCTTACTGGGGTGTTTTGAAGATTACATGGAAATCTTTCTCAAAGACTCTACAAACTAGAAAGAGCTCCATGGAACTGAGACAGGATCTTCGGAAGTATGACCACCTCTGAGAACACAAGGCCACCCTAAGAACAAGCCAAGAGCTAAAGAGAGGGGGTCAAAAAGGAAAAGGAAGAGAACACAAGGAGGGTCAGGTGAGGAGTGGGTCTGCCCAGATTCAAGGGAAAGGGGCATAGACACACCTCTCAATGAGAAGAGTGGCATGGAATGGAAGTGGCATGGAAGAGTGACCATTTCTAATCTAGATGCCTGGGGCTTGTGGGTCAGAGAGAGGCAAGTTGGTAAAGACTCACTGGAGCCTGGGTGTGCTTTGACCAATGGAGTACAAAGGAAGTGTCACTGTGCAAGTTTCCAAGCCCAGGCCTTAAGAGACTGGCAGCTTCCACTTCCTGTATCTTGGAATACTCAATCTTGGAACCCAGCTACTGTACTGTGAGGAAATCCAGGTATCTGTGGAAAGGTCTACATGGAGAGAAACCAAGGACCTTGATCAGCAGTCCCAGGTAAGCTCCCTGCCAACAGGCAGAACCAACTTGCCAGCCATGAATGAGCCACCTTGGAAGTAGATCCTCCAGGCCCAGGTGAGCCACTCTAACTAGTACCATGTGCAGCAGAGATGAGATTCCCAGATGAGCTCTAAATCCCTGAATTCTTGGCCACAAAATTGTGAGCAAAACCAACTGGCCGTTTCAAACCACTATGTTCTTATGCTTTAAACATACCAATAAACAGCCAGAACACTATGTGTATGTAGAAATCTAAGTGCAAAACAGATATTAAAAACTACCATAACAGGGCTTCCCTGGTGGCGCAGTGGTTGAGAGTCCGCCTGCCGATGCAGGGGACACAGGTTTGTGCCCCGGTCCGGGAAGATCCCACATGTCACAGAGCGGCTAGGCCCGTGAGCCATGGCCGTTGAGCCTGTGCTCAACGTTGAGCCTGTGCTCCGCAACGGGAGAGGCCACAGCAGTGAGAGGCCCACATACCACACACACACACACAAAAAATCTAGAAACAATAAATGCTGGAGAGGGTGTGGAGAAAAGGGAACCCTCTTGCACTGTTGGTGGGAATGTAAATTGATACAGCCACTGTGGAGAACAGTATGGAGGTTCCTTAAAAAACTACAAACAGAACTACCATATGACACAGCAATCCCACTACTGGGCATATACCCTGAGAAAACCATAATTCAAAAAGAGTCATGTACCAAAACGTTCATTGCAGCTCTATTTACAATAGCCCGGAGATGGAAACAACCTAAGTGTCCATCATCGGATGAATGGATAAAGAAGATGTGGCACATATATACAATGGAATATTACTTAGCCATAAAAAGAAACGAAATTGAGCTATTTGTAATGAGGTGGATGGACCTAGAGTCTGTCATACAGAGTGAAGTAAGTCAGAAAGAGAGAGACAAATACCGTATGCCATCACATATATATGGAATTTAAGAAAAAAAAAATGTCATGAAGAACCTAGGGGTAAGACAGGAATAAAGACACAGAGCTACTAGAGAATGGACTTGAGGATATGGGGAGGGGGAAGGGTAAGCTGTGACAAAGCGAGAGAGAGGCATGGACATATATACACTACCAAACGTAAGGTAGATAGCTAGTGGGAAGCAGCCGCATAGCACAGGGAGATCAGCTCAGTGCTTTGTGATCGCTGGGAGGGGTGGGATAGGGAGGGTGGGAGGGAGGGAGACGCAAGAGGGAAGAGATATGGGAACATATGTATATATATAACTGATTCATTTTGTTGTAAAGCAGAAACTAACACACCATTGTAAAGCAATTATACTCCAATAAAGATGTCAAAAAAAAGAAAAAAACTACCATAACAAAGTATAGACCTTGGAATATTTTTAATTCATATTCAAGCCACATCTCTGGGGAAAGAATGCTGTAGGCCAAGGGTTAGAAAACTATGGCCATGAGGACTTCCCTGGTGGCACAGTGGTTGAGAATCCGCCTGCCAATGCAGGGGACACGGGTTCGAGCCCTGGTCCGGGAAGATCCCACATGCTGTAGAGCAACTAAGCCTGTGCACCACAACTACTGAGCCTGTGCTCTACAGCCCACGCACCACAACTACTGAAGCCCGAGCGCCTAGAGCCCGTGCTCCGCAACAAGAAGCCCACGCACCACAACGACGAGTAGCCCCCGCTCACCGCAACTAGAGAAAGCCTGCGCTCAGCAACGAAGACCCAGCGCAGCCAAAAATAAATAAATAAAATAAAATAAATAAATTTACTAAAAAAAAAAAAAAAAGAAAACTGTGGCCATGGGACTTCCCCAGTGGTCCAGTGGTAAAGAATCTGTCTTCCAATGCAGGGGACGCGGGTTCGATCCGGGCTGCCACCTGTCTTTGTACAGCCCATGAGCTAAACATGTTTTTTGAGATTTTTAAATGAGGGGAAAAAAAATCAAAAGATATAGTATTTCTTGACACGTGAAAATCACATGAAATTAAAATTTCAGTTTCAGTAAAGTTTTTAAAAGTAAAGTTTTATTGGGGGCTTCCCTGGCGGCACAGTAGTTAAGAATCCGCCTGCCAATGCAGGAGACACAGGTTCCAGCCCTGGCCCGGGAAGATACCACATGCTATGGAACAACTAAGCCCGTGCTACTGCGCTCTAGAGCCCATAAGCCACAACTACTGAGCCCACGTGCCACAACTACTGAAGCCCATGCACCTAAACAAGAGAAGCCACAGCAATAAGCCCACGCACCACAATGACGAGTAGCCCTGCTCGCCGCAAATAGAGAAAAGCCCGTGTGCAGCAACAAAGACCCAATGCAGCCAAAAATAAATTAAATAAATAAATAAATTTATTAAAAGAAAAGTTTTATTGGAACAGAGCCATGTCCATTCGCTTGCATATTGTCTATGGCTTCTTTCATACTACACTGGCAAAGTTGAGGAGTTGCAACAGAAACCATATGGCCAGCAAAGCCAATATCTGGCTTTTTTAAGAAAAAGTGTGCTGACATCTGCTCTAGGAGATGTTCATAGCTTGAGGAGTACACCCCACCCACCCACATGTCTCCCATGCAAACTCAATCAGGAAGTAGGGGAAATTCCAAGGTCCCACAACCCCAGACAAATGGATGGTACTTCTTCACACAAAAGCTTCCTGTTTCAACTAATTTCCACCCTGGGTTGGACAAGACACTCTTCAGTTACAAAAATCTCAGATCTCCTTGTTTTCTGGGTTGCCTCCCCAAAAGGAGATGAGGCGAGGCTGAAATTTAAGTACTAATTTTGGTTCTTAAGTGACCAAATACATTAGTAAACATAGAACACCAAAGCAAAGCAAAACTCCAATATTTACTTATACCTTATTTTTTAAAAATAGGTTCAAAGCATTTAAAAGTTCCATATTTCTTGGGTTTAATCCCATGGTTAATGAAAGCAGACCATTTCCTATACACAGGCCCTTCCATCAAATCCCTAACTTGATGACCAAAAGATCTTCCAGAGTACATATGTAAAAGCTTTTTAATGGTGACACCCTCAAAATGGGATCAAGAATAAAGGTTTAGGATGCTATTCTGAGATATATGGGGACCCTCTAGTGAACGTCAGTGGCTGTCCCTCTCTTAAGGAACATTTAGCAGGTCCTGGAAGAACTGAGCTCAGAATTCCTGGAAAACTGACAAACTAAACCTAAACTAAAAAACTAAAAAAACCTAAAATTAACACTAAAATCAAAACTAAAATGGAAGATGAGAATTATTCCTCATTTACAGTTTATATCCAGTCTCACCTTGATGACTTCTCCATTGGAGGCAATTAAATCTGTTGGAATGGTCACTCGAAATGAGCGTCCGACGACAGCGGTGCCATCAGGAATGCCAACCACCGTGGGAACAGCCTCATGGAGGTCTGAGAGTACTGAGTGCATGGACGCCTCGAGCTGGTTCTCCCAGTCCCTGATGGCCTCCGAAGGCTCACTGGGCCAGCGGGACTGAGTCACAGCCACAGATAGCAGAAGGAGAAAGGTCCTCCCCCAGAGGGGGAGCAGCAGCGAGAGGGCCACAGACATCCTCATCCCGGGCTCAAGTCTGCTCAAGCAGATAGTCTAAGAAAGGAAGCAAGTGACGTGGTCCCAGAACTGGGTCCTCAGCCTCTCCACACCTGCTCCATCCCAGAGCACCCAAAGCCTGAAAAAGAAGAAGAGTAGACTCAGACTTCAGCAACTTCCATGGTTTCAAAGTTGAGCACAGGCAGTTACTACCCCCTAAGTGTTTCTGCCAAAAATATCTACTCTGAGTTGGATCAAGTCTCACGCTGCACTGTCCAGTACAGAGCCACCAGCTACATGTGGCTACTGAACACTGGAAATGTGGCTGGTCCATTAAGTATAAAGCACACCGTGGATTCTGAAAACTAAGTATAAAAAAGGAATGTTGGGGACTTCCCTAGTGGTCCAGTGGGTAAGACTCTGTGCTCCCAATGCAGGGGGCCAGGGTTCGATCCCTGGCCGGCGAACTAGATCCTGCATGCATGCCATAACTAAGAGTCCGCATGCCGCAACTAAGAAGTCTGTAGGCTGCAACTAAGACCTGGCACAGCCTAAATAAATAAATTTTTAAAAAAAGAATGTAAAATAGCTCATTAATACTTTAAAAATATTGATTACATATTGAAATAATATTTTGGATATGAAAATATTAAGTATAGTTAAGTAAATATTAATAGTACATAATAAAAATATTAAATATATTATTAAAATTAATTCCACCTGCTTATTTTTATTTCATGTGACTACTGGAAAATATTAAATGACATATGTGGATCACATTATATTTCTGTTGGGTAGTGCTGCTCTAGAACTAACTTCCAGTTCATAGGAAACACAGGGCCATGAAGACACGATCAGACAAATCTAGAATGTGGGACCTTCTACAAGATAACTGGTCTGGTCTTTCCAAATCTGACGCCTCTAAATACAAGGGGACTATTCTAGATTTAAAGACTGCAACCAGATGCAGTGTGTACATCTTGATTGGACCCTGGATTTACTTTTTTTTTTAATTTATTTTTTATTGAAGTATAGTTGAATTACAATGTTGTGCTAATTACTGTTGTACAGCAAAGTAACTCAGTTATACATATATGTACATTCTTTTTCATATTCTTTTCCATTATGGTTTATCACAGGATACTGAATATAGTTACCTGTGCTATACAGTAGGGCCTTGTTTATCCATTCAATATGTACCAGTTTGCATCTGCTAATTCCAAACTCCTAATCCAACCCTCTCTTACCCCCCACCCCCTTGGTAACCAGTCTATTCTCTATGTCCCTGATTCTATTTCTGTTTCATATATAGGTTCATTTGTGTCGGATTTACTTAAAAAAAAAAAAAACCAAAAAACACACAAGACCAGCTCTCAAAGGGATAGCTGAGGAATTGTGCATGTGGGCTGGAGATTATATTTATTGTTAATTTTCTTAGGTGAGATGATGGTGGTGTGGCTCGATAACAGATTGTCCTCAATTTTGAAGTATTTAGGGATGAAGTATCAAAAATCTCTGCAACTCACTTTGAAATGGTCCAAGGGGGGAAAAAAACCCATGTGCATGCATATATAGAGATAAAACAATGTGCCAAATATTACAATTAGTAAGTCTTAAAAAAATACTTTTGAAAAAAATTGAAAAGCCAAGTATTTGCACAGAGAAGTGTGGCAACCACCCACTTCTCACACCCCACATATTGCATATATTTGCAAACTCAGTGCTAGTGAACAAAACTTATTTGAACTCTCTTGCCCCCCAACCCCCAACAGTGACTAAAACCCTGCACATTGTCCCCTCTCCCCCACACCAGCTTCAAGCAGCTCATGACCCTGCTCTAAGGCTGGCAGCCACACAGATGCACTGTGGGACTTTCTGGGTGCCCACAAGTGGCCACAGCCATCACAAGCAATTTCCCATTCTGGAAAATGATGAAGCCCTGCCCTGAGCCAAGCTGTTGAGGAGCCACGTGATATTTTTTGACCTGGGTAATACAAAGTAAATAAAATTGCTGAAGAAAACAAGGCCACCGAAACAGACAGCGTACTCTGAAGTCAATGCAAATCCAAGCCAATGCCAAAAGGTTTTTTTTTGCTATTGACTTCGTTATTGCTGTTCTTATTTTGTTTTTGAACTAAAAGTCATGAGACAGAGACAAAACCCAAGAAAGTAACACAATTTTGAGGGCTGGAAGTCCTATCCTACCAAACCAAGACTTATCACAAAGCTACTGTATTTAAGGCAGTGTCACATGGGGCAGAGTAGACACTGGACTGTGGAACAAGAGGGAGAGCCCAAAACCTGCTTGCAAAGAAGCTGTTCAAAGATACCAGGACAAGTGGCTATCTATGTAGAAAAAAACAATTAGGTTCTTCTGTCACTTCTCCATCAAAAACAAGATAAGGGGCTTCCCTGGTGGCACAGTGGTTGAGAGTCCGCCTGCCGATGCAGGGGACACGGGTTCGTGCCCCGGTCCGGGAGGATCCCATGTGCCGCGGAGCAGCTGGGCCCGTGAGCCATGGCCGCTGAGCCTGCGCGTCCGGAGCCTGTGCTCCGCAACGGGAGAGGGCACAACAGTGAGAGGCCCGCGTACCGCAAAAAAACAAAAAACAAAAAACAAGATAAATCCCAAGTGGATTAGATACATAAATGTAAAAAGCAGAACTTTAAAATGTTTAGAATATAGCAGAATGTCAGAATAAGGAAGGATTTCATTTTTAAAAGATATCAAAAAACACAAAACATAAAAGAAAAAGACCATTGGACTTTCACTTCTAGGAAGATGAAACAGATGTACTTCTCCTTAGTTTCCCACTAAATACAAGGGAAAATCCTAGATATTATATATATATATAATAAACATGAGACTCTTAAACAGTCAAGAGAAGAAGGCAGAGCAGCTAGGGACCCCAGGAGTCAAGGAATGACACAGCAGTGAGTTCCCTGGGTTTTCTTTTGCCTCATGTATACCAGAAGTGGGAGCTGAAGAAGCTGGCAACCCAGTAATGCCAACAAATGAAACAAAAAACGTCCTAACAAAAGTCTGCTCTCTTTATCCAAAGGAGCAAGAAGGGGGTAACCTAGCAAGACATAAAACATTTAGACAGTAACAGCTCTATTCTAGCAAAACACCACAGAAAAAACTGTGGCCCCACTCCCACTCATGCCGACAAAGGCCAAGTGGGGAGCCAAGACTTCCACCCTCATGAGGCTGTAACAAGGCACCCTAATATCGCCACTGGGGAGGGAGCTGGGACTTTCATCCTCACTGGCCAGTAACAATGCACCACCCTCTACCTCCAGCCCCTTGGTGTCAGTGGAAACCACATGGGGAACCTGGATTTCTATATTCCCACCCAAGCAATAAGAAGGAGTCTCTCCCCATCCCTGCTGGGATGGTGTCAGAGGAAGACTGGTGGAGAGTCAGAACTTTAACCATTGCTCAGCAGTCGCGAGGCCTAGGGAACTAGAATTCCCACCCTCAACCAGCAGTAACAAGGACTTCACCTGCCTTCAGGTGTCAACAAAGGCTGAGTGGGGAACCTGGGCTTCTACCTAGACTTCCCAGTAATCAGGCAGTGCCTCCTCTACCCTTCCTCTGCCAGACAAGTGTCAAACAAAAGCCAGCTAAAACAGAATCTAGAGTTTCAGAACAAAATACAAAATTGTTCAAGTTTCAATCAAAAATCACTCATCATGGGAATTCCCTGGCAGTCCAGTGGTTAGGACTTGGTGCTTTCACTGCCATAGGCCCGGGTTCAATCCCTGGGTCAGGGAATTAAGATCCTGCAAGCCATGTGGTACAGCTCCCCCCGCCCCGAAAAAATGCTGAAAAATCACTCATCATGCCAAGAACCAAGAAGATCCCAAACTGAATGAAAAAAAGACAATCAACAGATGACAACTCCAAGATGAAAAAGACAGGTAGAAAGGAAAAGGATGGGAAAAGATATATCATGCAAACAATAATTAAAAGAAAGCAAGAGGAGCTGTATTTATATCAGATAAAGTAGACTGAAGAACAAAGAAAATTATCAAAGAGCGGTACATTATATAATGATAAAAGGGTCAATCCATCAAGAAGAATACTAATCCTAAATGTATATGCGCCAAACAACAGAGTTGCAGAACCATGAGAAGCAAAAACTGATAGAACTGAAAGGAAAAATAAACAAATCAACAATTCTAGTTGGAAATGTCAACATCACTCTCTCAACAAATGATAGAACAACTAGAAAGAAAATCACCAAGGGTACAAAAGAACTAAAACATGCTATCAATCAATATGATTTAATCAACATTTATGGAGCACTCCACCTAACAACAGAACATACATTCCTTTCAAATGTCCACAGAACATATACCCTGAGAGATCACATCTAGGGCCATGAAAAAAATCTCAACAAATTTAAAGGAACTGAAATAATACTGAAATGTTCTCCAACCCCAATGGAATCAAATTAGAAATCAGTAACACAAGCATAGTAAGAAAATCTCCAAAGGCTTGAAAACTATACAATGTACTTCTAAATAATTCCTGTGTCAGAGAGGAAGCCTCAAGGGAAATAAAATGTTACACTGAACTAAATATACATTTGTGGGGTTATAGTAAAATTTGTGGAACACAGCGAAGCAGCTCTTAGGAGTGAATTTACAGCACTGAAACCACTAGAAAAAGAAGGAAAAGTCTCAAACCAATAATCTATGCTTCCACATCAAGAATCTCAAAAAAAAAAAGAGCAAAATAAACCAAAAGCAAGCAGAAGGAAGGAAATAGTAAAGCACAGAAATCAATAAAACTGAAAACAACAGAAAAAACTCAATAAAACAAAAAACTGGTTCTTTGAAAAGATTAATAAAATTGACAAATCTCTATAAACAAATTACCAATATCAGGACTGAGACGGGATATCACTACAGATCCTGCAGACGTCAAAAAGGATAGTAAGGAAATACTACCAAATAACTCACAGATTTTGATAATTCAAATGAAACAGACCAATTCCTCAAAATTTGTAATTTAAAAAATTTATAATTTAAAAACTCCCACAAAAAGAAATCTCTAGGCCCAGACAGCTTCACTAATAAATTCTACCAAATATTTAAAGAATTAACACCAATTCTACACAGTCTTTTCCA